TCTGCTGGGACCAAGTACCAGCAGATGTGGTAAAAGGACGGTAAACCTGGTATAAATAAGTCTTGATGCCGCAGAGCATCAGAGATTGACAGCAATCTCTGTCTGCTTTATTCATGTTACTCCATGTGTGTGTACAGTTAAAGATGAACAAATTTTTGAAAAAAAAAAACACTAAGGAGAACTACTAGCAGTCTTACAGAACACCCTATCTCTACAGTGTGCATAACCGAAACCTGTGACATAATAGTTTAAGCATGAATGAAAAAAAAAACAGACACACACAATCAATGCCTGGCAGCATCTGGAATTATATATCAGTTCTATGGTAGGAAGGGCTACAATGTAATTTACAGCGAGCATGGATGCAGGATGGACAGTGAAGACATAAAAAAAAAAAAAGTAACACCTGGTATACTTGCCACAGAGTGGGATCCACAATACACTAACAAAAGGCTCCTCAAAAAATAAGAAAAGTTGGAAAAAAACCAACCTTTCACAATATCCAAATGGAAAAGTTTAAATAAATAGTAAAGAAAAACTAAGTCAATAGTATAATGGAAAAAGTCGACAAATCCATGAACAAAACCAGCACTATTGCCAATTGATTAGTGATTAATGAGTGCAAATGTGAAGTGGGTGCTGGTTGTGATAGGAGTTGTATTGCACTGCTATTGGAGGACAGCTGCATGATCATTTGCATTTTGATATGCAGAAGCAGGAGGTGGAAGGCTAGTGGCAGAGCATTGAAAAGTTGCACCGATAGAGGGCAGTATTATTTTGTCAGTGGAGATAAGATATTGTATCAGAATTCTATTTTCATGCATTTAACACCTTGATTCTGTTCTTATATGATTTAAATTTAGAAATTTCACATTTCACCAACCTCAGTCAAAACAGTTTTATAGAAATCCAGTACAAAGTGATATACATTTTCTCCTTTAGCACCAATTCCACTAGCAGTAAACTCCAGCTGATTTTCAGTAACATCCACTTCTGGTGTCTAATATAAATATATATATATACAGTGTGTAACATAATTATACACAGAAATTAGTTAACTTTAAACCTAGGCTTCTTCTTCTGCATTTTGTGGAAATATTGGATTTGGTCTAAATCATGTATATTTAACCCACTTATGTTAAGTAAAAAGACAGAGACAAAAAAAAGATAAAGCATTTGGATCAGGGATGTATAGGTCAAAGAGCAGATAAGCAAATCTCTCTCTCATTTTGGTCAGCCAATCAACAACAAACAAGTGCCCGAAGATTGGAGAGTATCTAATATTACTCTTACTTGTAAAGGGAATGATACAATTTTCCTGGAAATTATAGGCCAGTTAGTTTTACTTTTCTAGTGGGGAAAATTCTAGAAAAACTGATAAAAGAAGCTTTGCAAAATCATTTAGTGAAATATGATGTCATTAAAGAAGCCAATAAAAATTCACTAAACAAAAATCTTGGCTTACTAATCTGCTGTATTTTTTTTTTTTCTTTGAGGATGTTACTCATAACCTGGATGATGGAAAAAATGTGGACCTAGTGTATTTGGATCTTCAGATGGCTTCTGATATGGCACCACATAGAAGATTAACTAAGAAAATCACATTGTTGGGAGATATGGAAGATCTAGTTGACGGAATTTTTGGGTGAGTAGGTGAGAGAGAAAGCAAGCAGTTGTTACTAATGAAGTCTAATCATACTTAACCTTTGTTACTTGTGGCAAGCCTCAGAGGTTAGTGCTTGGGTCTTTGTTTTTATTGTTTACATTAATGATGCTAATAACAGAATAATTAGTAAAATCACTGATTAAGCCTCTCTTGGAGTACTGTGTGCAGTTTAGATCTCCTTATCTAAGAAAGGATTTCTTATTTTAGTAACCCTGTGCATAGCTACAAATTAAGTATTTTGCATACTACAAGAAAGAGTTAAATCATAATGGAAATACTGTGTACAAAAAACATTTATTTTATTAATACTTAACTTTTAGATGATATATGCTGTTTAAGAGGTGTATGGAAGAAAGAAGGTTGTTACTTATGTAAGAGGTTGTGTGTGTGGGTCAATAGTATAAATGTCTACAATTTCTTTGTACTGTATTGTGAAGATAAGAGAATAAAAATTAAAGTTTAGAAAAATTCAGACTAGGCTCCAGTTAAAGCAGTATATTTTTCTAATAGGGTAACTGGCTTATGAAACAAGTTTCCTTTGATAGGAGTGGAGGCTGACACTACATAAGTTTCAGGTGGGATTCAATGATTTCCTGAAAATTAAAGAATTTAAATTTTTACTTTTCTTAAGGGTGGATGTGCAAAGACAGTCTTGTGTAACTTGTAACTGTTAGTCTGTAGATGTTTAAAAAGGGTACATACATTCAGCTTGGTAAAAGACCATCATTATCTTCTTAGGCTATAATAATATGTAGATAGCAAGAGAACTATTTGATCCTTCACAAGACTGTCGCCCGGCATGGCCAGGTGGATAAGGCGCTCGACTCACAATCTGAGGGTCGGGGGTTCGAATCCGCATCCCACCAAACATGCTCGCACTTTTAGCCGTGGGGGCGTTATAATGTGACAGTCAATCCCACTATTCGTTGGTAAAAGAGTAGCCCAAGAGTTGGCGGTGGGTGGTGATGACTAGCTGCCTTCCCTCTAGTCTTACACTGCTAAATTAGGGATGGCTAGCGCAGATAGCCCTCGTGTAGCTTTGCGCGAAATTCCAAAACAAACAAACAAAGAAAAAAAGTTTATGATAATTTCCATACTTTGGATTAACCATGGAAATAGTGTAATACTATATTTTAATCAGAAAATTATAAACCTATTTGATTAAATGAAATAATTTAGTTTAGCATAAAATTTCATATTTAGGTGATTAAAGTATATATAAAGTTGAATACTGAAACAGTTTTAAACTATAGTTGCTATTTTTATGACATACAGAAATAAATAATACTTGTCATATTACAAAGCTTATTAAAAAAACACAAAAAGAAACTTATAACATGACATTTGCAAGAGAAAAACATTCTGATGCATATTATAAAAGCAATATTGTTTTATATTTATTGACATGCCATTTTCACTCCTACCTACCATATTCCACCTCTTATTGTAAACATTTTTCCACTACCTGATTGAACAAATCAATCTCTGACTGAGTTAACTACTCATATTTGACTTTTATTCTTTCTATATAATATTTTACACAGCTCTATCTACCGAGAGTTTAGTAATTCAGTAGGTAAAGCATTGTGTATGAATCATACTTCATTACATTTTTTCCTATGTAAAACATGTACAACTTACTGTTTTGATCACTGATGTCTTACACACACTTTCTTCTTTCTGACGTAGGAACAATTCTATATGATGCTATCATTATGCACGTCTAAATACATCATTTCCTATATTAATTATTTCCATATTTTTATGTTAAAGTAAAAAATTTCATTCTGGCTGAAAAAAATTACACCACACGCAAGGTATACCAAAGCCAAGGCTAATTCACTTGAAGTTGAATTAATATTGATAAAGCCAAGTCATAAGATACATGCCTTTTGCTATTCTTACTCAGTTTTAGTCTTCCTACTACAAGAATAATACTAATAGTCCTAAACCGTAAGTAAAACACCCAGTGATTCTAACTGTAAATGTAAACACAGTAAAACGAAAGCCGGTAAGCCTACTTCAAATACTTAAGTACTTCATAATTCAATATTGACCGTGACAATACTAAATTTTATTATTATCGCTTTGAGATACACTAATGTAATATTTTCACGATAAATAAACAATATTACCATACTTTATGTAAGTATCAAACAAACCTTCACATTACGTAATTCAACTCGTAAAGATATTCCAGTTTCTGTTTGCGCCCAGTGAACGAACGGACTTAAAACGGAGGACGCCATAATTAACAACTCCTTCAACACTCCTGCCACCTCGTAGTTAAATGTTATAAACTTATAAACAGCTCATTAGTTCATTTGTTTAAGATCAAATCTACCGTGTCCACCGCGAGGAATCTAATCTCGAATTTTAGCGCTGTAAATCCGTAAAATTACCGATGTCCCACCAGGGAACTTATTCCACTAGTGTACAGTTATAACATTTAATACAGAATATTTCAATTTAGTTTATTTTTTAAGTAATAGTTCATTTCATTAATTTAACACTAACAGAACTACAGACAAAAAAAAAAAAAGAAAAAAAAGAGGGAAACAAAATATGTTATATACAAGCCTGATGTTATTTTTCTGTTAGAAAAGAAATCCAGAAGTCAAATTTTGACAATATATGAATAATAAAACCACCCCATCTATGAAATAATAACTGTACATCACCGCTAGAGAAAACTTATGTCAGTTTTTTAATGCATACATATCTACATACTCAAATCAACATGCTTTAGATAGAAGGTAAGTTGAGCGATTTGATTCGGTTTGTTTTAAACCTTGCGCAAAGCTATACGTGGGCTATCTGCGCTAGTCGTCCATAATTTAGTAATGATAGACTATTGGGAAGGAAACTAGTCAAAATCACCCATCGCCAACTCTTGGGCTACTCTTTTTACTTTTTATACTGCTGTAATCGCTCTTCTTTTTCTTTTTTTTCCTCCAACAACTGCTGTAATCTCTCTTCTTTTTTCTTTTCTCGTTCTTCTTGTTTCTTTTCTC